AACATGTCCAACACACCACACCACTGAGCCACGGACGCCCCGAGTCCCGCCCGCTCCTCGGTCCTGCCGGGAGGTGCACGACGGGAGACCGGGACCGCCGGGACCGCAGGCGGACGGCAGACCGGGCGGCGAGGGGAGCAGATCGGGCAGGAACGTGGAAGGCAGGAGCCCAGAAGTGTCAATGACAGACTTGTGGGAAGAAAGATGACATAGTCTGTGAAGATGATATGACCAACACAGACTTGTGGCAAAACAAAGCAAATATATAAAGGAGCCCTTGCAAGCAATGGGTGTCAATCTACCTTTTGATGTTGTCCCTTGTCATTTATAGGATTTTGTAGCTCTTGGCCACCATCTACCCGATGGTCATAGAATACGTATGATTAGAAGGAAAGCGGGTTATCTCAAGATGTCTACCTCATCTCAAAATGATTGGATTTGAGTTCAAATCTTTGATCCACCAAGCTTCTTCAGTTGGTTGGCCGGCACAGACCAGTACAGACATCAGATAACCTGTAGAGAGTCCTCTGGAGAGCTTACTGGCCCAGCCAACACCATGCTGTTTATTTGATCATTCCAGAGCCCGTTCAAGATCTGTGAAAGTTCAGGCCATATTTGCGCCCATCATGGATCGTTTGCGGATCAGTGAATGGATGTTTATGTGCGAAATATGATCGAGAACTGTCACCCCCTGCACCCCTGTGTGCGTTGGATGCTTTCGTACAGTGCAAAAACTTGTTGCAGATATCTTAAAACATCTTAAGACTCCTCGAATATCCTCCTGACCGACCGTCACACATCTTCGGCCCAAAGCCACCCTCATAGAAGTCCACGATGCCTCTTGCTCGACATGTCCGGAATCCCCGATGGCCGTTGCTCCTGGCCCTCTTTGTTTTGACACTGGTGGCTTCAAGAAGCTCCGTGTCAAGAAGCTCCGTGCCACCGGGGTGGTGGCGACAGGGATGGCCCAAAACACGTCGTGACAGTGTAGCCGAAGCGCAGTTGTTGGCGCCTTTAGCAGAGCTTTTGATGCCGAAGACACCCATTGAGGAACTTTTCAGAAGCTTTCCTTCTCCAGATGGCTGGGGCGGACACTACTTGGAGCCGGACTTGACGGCTTACGGAGTGCTGAAAGATCCGAATGCAGCATTGTTTGTGGAATATGACGGGTACTGGCGGCATGGGGAAAGGGAAGGCAGAACCAGAGACCAGAGCAAAAATGAAGCGTTGTTTGCATATGGGCCTCCAGGGTCATGTGTGCTTCGCATCTCCCACAACCACAGCAGGGTTCTGAAAGATCAGCTTGTAGGTATTCAGGTGAGCACCTGGCAAACCTGTTGCAGGGCATCGCTTGAAAGGACTTTGACGGACGTCTTCAAAAAGACATCAGAGGGCCTCAACAAGGTTCTTTGTCCTCGACTGGCCAAGCGATTGGATTTGGAAGCAAGTCGAGGTTCACTGAGAGTGTCAGCACGGACAGATAGATTCGTTCAAATGGCACTTGCTGTGAAGGGTGGCAACACATCAGAGCAGATTTCAGACTATTTGGGAGCTGAAGGGTTCAGAAAGAAAGAGATTGAACTTATGATTGAACGTGCATCCTTGAGTGGAACATCCATCGAAAGAGCGCTACAACCAAGAATAAAATGGCTCTTGAGTATAGGACTCAAACACGCTGAAGTTGTGAAGGCAATCGCCACTTTTCCACACCTTCTTGTGTACAGCATTGAGAAGAACTTGAAGCCGACAGTGCAGTGGTTCTTGGACATTGGGCTGAGCCAGGCTCAAGTTGTGAAGCTTATTGCAAGGGTTCCTCAAAGTCTTGGCTACAGCATTGAGGAGAACTTGAAGCCGACAGTGCAGTGGTTTTTGGACATTGGGCTGAGCCAGGCTCAAGTTGTGAAGGCAATCGCAGCTTCTCCTGCCCTTCTTGGCTACAGCATTGAGGAGAACTTGAAGCCGACAGTGCAGTGGTTTTTGGACTTTGGGCTGAGCCAGGCTCAAGTTGTGAAGGTTATTGCAGGGTTTCCTCAAAGTCTTGGCTTGAGCATTGAGGAGAACTTGAAGCCGACAGTGCAGTGGTTTTTGGACATTGGGCTGAGCCAGGCTCAAGTTGTGAAGGCAATCACAACTTTTCCTCCCCTTCTTGGCTACAGTATTGAGGAGAACTTGAAGCCGACAGTGCAGTGGTTCTTGGACTTTGGGCTGAGCCAGGATCAAGTTGTGAAGGTAATCACAACACGCCCTCAAGTTCTTGGCTTGAGCATTGAGGAGAACTTGAAGCCGACGGTGCAGTGGTTTTTGGACATTGGGCTGAGCCAGGCTCAAGTTGTGAAGGTTATTGCAGGGTTTCCTCAAAGTCTTGGCTACAGTATTGAGGAGAACTTGAAGCCGACAGTGCAGTGGTTCTTGGACTTTGGGCTGAGCCAGGCTCAAGTTGTGAAGGCAATCGCAATGAAGCCTCAACTTCTTGGCTTGAGCATTGAGGAGAACTTGAAGCCGACCGCGGAGTGGTTTTTGGACATTGGTCTGAGCCAGGCTCAAGTTGTGAAGGTCATTGCAGGGTCTCCTTCAATTCTTGGCTTGAGCATTGAGGAGAACTTGAGGCCGACAGTTCAGTGGTTCCTGGACATGGGGCTCAGCAATGATCAAGTTGTAAATGTAGTGGCAAACTATCCACGGACCTTGGGCTTTGGCATCGAGAAGAATTTAGTGCCTGTCAGGCAGTGGCTTTTGGATCTGGGGCTAAGCGAGGATCAAGTCGTTGATGTGGTGACCAGTTTCCCCATAATCCTTGGCCTCAGGATCGAACAAAACTTGAAGCCCAAGCAAGCACTGCTGGTAAGTGCCTTTGGCAGATCAGAAGCTGCAACCCTCATCAGCCATCATCCTCGCGTTCTCTCCTACAGTTACAAGCGCTTGGCCACACGCCTCAGGGTTCTTGTAGAGAGAAATGAAACACACTTGCTTCCCAGGGCCATGGTATACGACGAGACAAGATTTGCAAAACGACTTTGCTGCGACTTTGCTGCGGCTGAGTGTCAGCAAGCCTTGGACCTCAGGGCACTTCCAACCTCCCAAACCGAAGTCCGTCGTTGGCCGAAGTGTGGCTGTGGGGATCGGAGCTAAGATGGAGCGAATTCCAAGGGAACGAACAAGCTTGGGAAGGGAACTCGGGTGGGCGCGGCGTGGGGGTGCTACTTGCATGGACATGTTCTCCTGCTGGTCCCCAAGTCAAGTCCAAGGTCCTAACGTTTTCTATCCTGTTTGGATCCAATTGCCACACCCTACTGTACCTCAACTTTCCAAAATTTATCAAACATATCAACATCATGCCATGTACACAATGTCCCCCAAAACATGAAACCCAGGATTTTTCGTCACGACTGGGGGGAGTGGAAACAAAGAACTCCTTGCATGTTTTGAAAACCTCAAGGACCTTGAAGTCCGGGCAGATTTCATGTCAGGTCCCGCTTCTGGTCCCATGAGGAGTTCACTCAATCCCATCTGGTGGGAAGAGGTGGATTGCAGTGGAGCCCATATTGGCTCCAAGCTTGCTGGGGGATGAGTGGACCTTGAGTGGTGCTGGTGTGACATGCTCCCGCCATTGTGTGAGATTGTTCGATACTTGGAGGAACCGTCCTTTTTGCAGGTCGACCACATAATGCCACTATACAACTAATATATATAATATATATCATATTATATAATATATGTTTACTTTACACTTTCCGTTCTTTCTGTAACAGGTCAGGTAGCCAACAAGGTATACCCCGTTTCTTTCAATGTCGAGAAAAAGAACTCAACGGAGGCAACCGGTGCTTTTTGTTGCAGAAAGAGAGTGGTCATGAGCCGTTCGACCGACGTTCGCCGCCACGAACGCTCCGCCCCCCTCTGCCGAGCTGCCGCGCCGGCGTTCTTTTCGTCAGGTCTGGGACGGTCGACCGGAAGTGCAGGAGCCGCCCAGGCCGCAGGCGTGCGGCCACCGGATGCACCACCGGTTTGGAGATATTTGGAGTCAACCAAAAGGGAGGGGAGCCAGTACTATTTATAGTATTATAGTAGGAATAAGATGTAGAATCTAGGGATGAATCCACCTATCCCAGGCACTTGCCAGGTTTCGATCGACCTGCAGACAAGATCTTAATAAATCCCTCCAAGCTTTCAGACTCCTTCTTTTTTCGTCCGATGCGGACAAGAAGCACACGAACACCCTCACTAGATGGCCGTTTCATGGCATGTTTAAGAGCAGCTTGGCTGGCCTGTTGATGTCTGAGGGCGGAAGCAAGAATTGTGAGGTACCTTCCATTAGGTTACACATACGCATGTGCATGACCAATAAAGGTCTGTGCTGCACCTGTGTGTATTTTTGCATCTTCTGAATTTTGGAGGTGGAGATGTTCACGACTCCCGGGATAGTTCAAGATGTTTGAAGTTCAGTTTGTGATGAACTCAAGTGTATCCATCAAATCATGTTGCCCCACAACCTAGAATTTTTAAAGCCCTCCTCCTTACCTGCCTAGCATTACACTCACAATGACTTAGTACATCTTCAGCTCAAGCAGCCGCCAGTGAAGTCCAACATGTTCCATTCTTCAAAGCTACGCAATCCACCATGGCCGTTGCTCCTGGCCCTCTTTGTTTTGACATCGGTGACTCCAAAAAGCTTTGTGCGACCAACTCGGGAGGGACGGCCCAGAAAATGTCTTCACAGCGTGGCAGAAGCGCAGTTGCTGGCTCCCTTAGCAGAGCAACCAACAAGACAATGGCTCTTGCGTATAGGACTCAACCACGCTCAAGTTGTGAAGGCAATCGCATCTTTTCCTAGCCTTCTTCGCTACAGCATTAACGATAAATTGAGGCCGACAGCGCAGTGGTTCTTGGACATGGGGCTCAGCCAGGATCAAGTTGTGAAGGTAATCGCAGTGAAACCTAACCTTCTTGGCTACGGCATTGAGAAGAAATTGAAGCCGACAGTGCAGTGGTTTTTGGACATTGGGCTGAGCCAGGCTCAAGTTGTGAAGGTTATTGCAGG